TCCATACTACCCAAAGCAATTTATAGATTCAATGCAATCCCTATTAAGATACCAAGGACCTATTTCACAGAAATAGAACAGACATTTAAAAAATTTATATGGAATCATAAATGACCCCGAATAGTCTCAGCAGTTTTGAGAAAGAAATGCAAAGTAGGAGGGATCACAATACTGGACATCAAACACTACTACAAAGCGACTATACTCAAAACAATCTGGTACTGGCACAAGAACAGACCCATAGACCAGTGGAACAGAATAGAAAGCCCAGAAATAAGCCCAGGACTATATGGGCATCTCATATTTGACAAAGGGGGCAGAAGCATAAAATGGAGCAATAATAGCCTCTTCAACAAATGGTGTTGGGAGAGCTGGACGGCCACATGCAAAAAACTGAAATTGAATCATCAGCTGACACCATACACAAAAATAAACTCAAGATGGATAAAAGACTTAAATATTAGTCACAACACGTTCAAAGTCCTAGAGGAGAACATTGGCAGGAAACTCTCAGATATCCCACGCAGCAATTTTTCAGTGATATGTCTCCTAAAGCAAGGGACATAAAGGAAAGAATAAGCAAGTGGGACCTCATCAAAATAAGAAGCTTCTGCACGGCTAAAGAAAACATCAGCAAAATGAAAAGGGAGCCAACCCTATGGGAAAATATATTCGCTAATGATACATCAGATAGAGGTTTGATCTCCAAGATATATAAAGAACTCACTCGACTCCACTCCAACAAGACAAACGTTCCAATCAAAAAATGGGCAAAGGACCTGGGCAGACGCTTTTCCAAGGAGGAGATACAGAGGGCCCAGAGGCATTTGAAAGGATGCTCAGCATCACTAGCCATCAGAGAAATGCAGATCAAAACCACCATGAGGTACCACCTCACACCGGTCAGAATGGCCATCATAAACAGATCAACAAACAACAAGTGCTGGCGAGGCTGTGGAGAAAAGGGAACACTAGTACACTGTTGGTGGGAATGCAGACTGGTGCAGCCACTGTGGAACGCAGTGTGGAATTGCCTCAAAAAGCTGAAAATGGAACTGCCTTTTGATCCAGTGATTCCCCTGCTGGGACTATACCCTAAGAATACCAAAATGCCAGTACCAAAGAACCTATGCACCCCAATGTTCATAGCAGCACAATTGACAATAGCCAAGTGTTGGAAGCAACCTAAATGCCCATCAGTAGATGATTGTATCAAAAAATTATGGTACGTATACAGAATGGAATACTATGCAGCAGAAAGAAAAAAAGAACTACTAAACTTCGCGACAGCATGGATGGAACTGGAGAGCATTATGCTAAGCGAAATAAGCCAGGGGGCGAAAGACAAATACCTTATGATCTCACCTATAAGTGGAACCTCACCAACAATACAAAGATGCAAGGAAAATAAGACCAGCAACACTGAAAGGAAAAGAAATCAACAGAGACAAGAGGGAAGGAGGGAGAGGGGTGGGGAAAAGGAAGGGAAGGGGAAAGTCAAGGAACATATAGCAAGGACTCATGGACAAAACCAAAGGGGAAGAGCTGAGGGAGGGAAGGAGGGAGGGAGCAAGGGAAAGTGGTGGGGGGTGGCAGAGACAAATGTATTTGAAAAAATAAATTAAAATAAAATTTAAAAAAATTAGGTCCTATCCATTAGAATCTGTTTCTTTGTTTCCTTCAGAGCACCTTATCTAAATGTGTAATCATTTTATTTGTTGGTTTACTTGTTTTTTTCTGCATCCCTCATTAGAACTTAAGCTTTATAATAGCAGGAACCATATCTATCTTGTTCATCATTGTAACCCTAGCACTATTGAATGAATGAATGAATGAATGTATCACTGAGTTCATGTGGTCAGGAAAGGCCACCTTGGGGAGAAAGTGCTTGAAGTGAATTTTGAAAACTGGAATGATAGGCAGAATTTTCATAATCAAGATGAAGGGAGGAATTCCAGGTAGTAGTAGAAGTTGCTGAGGCAAGCATGGTTCTGGTACATTTGCACAAAAGTGAAAAATGGAAGCTTCCTGCAGTGGAAGGTTCTCATTAGGTAACATAGGAACAACAAACAGGTTTGTTAGTTGGTTGAGACGTAATTATGTTGAATCTGAAAGAACAGACTACTTTTTTCTTTCAAAGTGGGCAATAAAAGAGAATCCATTGAAAATTTTGAAACAGGGTCATGGTGCAGTGTTTTAAGAAGGCTTTCCATGGAGGAGATTAGTATAAATGTTTATGGAAGGTATTTCTTAAACAGAACAGATTTTGTCCCTACCAGTTGAATGGCTATAGAAAAAAATATTAACATATGCATGAGTCAGAAAGGTATATTTTGGCTACAAGACCCTAGAATTGTCTAAAGTATTAACTGAGATGATTTGAAAAAAAATGCAGGGATAAGAAATAGACATTGATGAACTTTTCCTTCCTTTCCTCTAATAAAGAGCTAATGAACAAAGAAGAGTCATGGGAGATTAGGAGAAAAATACATGAACTTTATCTCCTGACTTTGAATAAATGGGAGGTTGCTGTGTTAGTAGAACTGATATTTATTTTCAAAACAGTTTCATGAGGGAAGCTGTCTGATTCACAAACTTTAGTTCTGAAAGATTGTTATGGCTATATTACACTGTATACAGTACATGGAAATAGGATAATTCATCCTCAGTGAAAGAAATGAAATGCATTAAAATTTTTTTGTGACAACATGGATGGAGCTGGAGAATATTATGCTAAGTGAAATAAACCAGGGGGTCAAAGACAAATACCATATGATCTCACCTGTAAGTTGAATCTATTCAACAAAATAATGAACAAAATAAACCACAGGCATGGAAACATGGAGCAGACTGAAAGTGACCAGAGAGGGATGGGGAAGGAGGACAATGGTGGAAAGAAGGAGAAGGGACTAGACAAAGAACATGTATGAATGACCCATGGACATGGACAACAGAGTGGGAACTGACTGTGGGTGAGTGGGGTGAAATGAGATGGGTGGAGGAGGGCAAAGGGGGGAAATTGAGACAACTGTAAAAGAATAAACATGATTTTTAAAAACCCCCAAAACCAAATAGACAGGGGGATGTTAAGCACAGTATAGGAAATGGAGTAGCCAAAGAACTTATATGCATAACCCATGGACCTGAATGAAGGGTATAGGGGTGGCTGGAAGGAATGGGGGTACAGGGTGGAGGGGAACAAAGGGTGAAAAATTAGGACAACTGTAATAGCATAATCAATAAAATACATTTATAGAGAAGAATAGAAAAAAATCAGCAAATTGTGAATTAGAATGTTCAAACTTGTTTCATACCCTAGTCAGGCAAGGCTCTGCAAGAACACACACCACTTTCCTGATTCTACCCTTTGTTCATGCTCTTTGTCTCTTCTCAAATTCCCTTCTTCTCTTCTCTTGACACCCACAAGTAACATATGCTTCAAACTCCTCTAGCTAGCCTTCTCTGAAAACCTTACTTTCCTGGAGTGCGCTTTTAACAATTCTTACAGCAATCAGAATCTGTAGTATAACACTCAATTTGATACTGTTCTGCGTTGTTCATGAATTGTTTCATGCATGTCCTTTTCTTTCTACTCCTGTTCAAACTGTATTAAGTAAGCATCTATCACAATATTGAACACAACACTGGGGGTTCATAACAGCTTGTAGAATTGGTTGACTGACTGATAATTTATAATTAGGATTAGTTGCTAGATATAAAGTGTCCTGTGTCTGATATACTATCTCAAAAAAGCTATATAATATTACATAAAGAAGGGACACACCTTTGGAGGGGTGACCAAGGCCAAGAGAGCTTCAATGAGTTAGTCAAGGTCAGAGGGCTACTTAGTGGTAGAGTGTACTCTAACTCTAGCCTCTACTTCAGGTTCATGAAATTTGATAATTTTGGAAGCAAATACCATAGACAAATACAGGCCTTACCTTAGTATTTCCTGACAGGGTTTGAAGACACATCAAAATGAGAATGAAGTGTAAAGCGCTCTGCATTCTGTAAAGCCAGATGACCCTTCAAGTTAAGTTACTTGGAAGGGATGCCTAAGGCAGGCAGGCCTTCCATTTGCTCCTTCCTTCTATGAGTCAGAAAACCCTAAGTCAGGAAGAACCATCCCTAGCCTGTAATCAGGGTTACAGACAAACAAAGTAACATTGTCTTTTGGAATTTCATGGTGACAGGATCCCCTGGTTTTACTGAGAAATCCCTCAAAGATAACTGAGTTCCAAAAAAGATAACTGAGTTTTAGAAGAGTCTGTTTAGCTGAATTATGGTTATACCTAATTGTATACTATTTAAGATCAGACCCTTAGTTTCTGAGGCTGTTTCAACATAATGTGTCCCCAACATATTATCTCACTATTAAAAAAAAATCCATCCCCAAAGCCAAGATTAGCCCATGTCCACTCATTATTTTCATCAGATCATTGTTGAGGCCTTATAAACGGAAGATCTAATGTAATCTGAGGGAATAAGCCTTGGATGCTGGAGATATTGACACCAGTCCCAGCTCTGTGGTTAAGCTGTTGTGTGAAAAAGTACTTTTCCTCTTTGGGTTGTAGTTCTTGTCATTTATGAAACAAGGTTAATTTTAGTTTCTAGCAAGATTAATTCTTCAAAACTTTCTAGCTCAGCCTCTCTCTATTTTAGACTAAGCTGCTTTTACTTTGTGTATTTTAGACCAGATAAAAATTTTTTTAGGTGAGCGGCTCTTTTTTAACAACACTTAACAAGGAAGGTATTACAACCCCCTTTCCAGAGTTGGAGGTGGGAGGACATATATGGTTTGAAAATTAGATTCTAAAATTACCATTGCTTTGATTTTTTTGTCTTAATGTCCAATTTTTTAATGTTAAATACGATTTAAAAGTGTTTTATTTATTGTAAAAGAAGAGAACAAACATGAGTTGAAGAAGGTTAAACACCACTGCTAATATGAAAATTAACATTATGAATGTTCAAAAGGGAGAGCAGATGCCTCTTCTTACCTCTTTCTGTGTCATAGAGGTACACAAACTTCTCCCACTTGTAGTGGCCCAGAAGACTCAGAATAGCGCCCTTCAAGGCTGGGCGCATCTGGATGACAAACTGCACATCTGCATCAGTTGGGAAGCTGGGCGTGACAAAAGACGTGTGCAGGGCCCCACAGAAGGAGGTCAGAGTGTTCATTGACATCTGGTCATAGAATCCAAAGATGGCATACACCCCTCTTGAGAACTGGGAGCAGACTGCAATGAGAAAAAGAGAAATTTCAGTAGCCCCATGGTTCCTTGCTGCAACTTATAGAGTTGGAAATACAATGTATAGTTAGGTTTTGGGTCTAAATGACATGCCTCAAAAGAAACCCAAGATTTCTGAAACCCTAGAAGCCCTTAAAGGCCCAGCTGACCAGCAGAAGAAGAATAAGGAAGGGAAGAATTTATTTGATACAGTTGCACATTCTCTATATCTACCATGAGAAGGAAACTAAGAAAATGGGGAAAAGAGGTGAAAGTTGTCTTACCCTTTTTTTGGTAAACCTTCCAGCTCAGCTTCAAGGCACTTGGTGCTCCCATACTTACACCATAGCTGCCTAGGGACTTCATAGTGTACCCACACCCCCATCAAGGCACAACTGACTTGTGTCTTACCTCTTCATGGCATTTTCTACTAGGTGACAAAGATGACTGATGATTTAGTCAGACAAAGTGCTTAATGTGTCTGCTAGGAAATGTGTTCATTCTCTTAGATCACACAATGACTTAATCATTGTTGTTTTATGACTAAGACCCTCAATGTAGGCTACTAATAAAGAGGATTTCAGATTCTGGGAAGGTCATTGGGAAGAATGGCTTTCCAGTGAGTCACATAATGGGTAGGTGTGCCTATTCTGATCGTGTGTAATTGGCAAAGTGCTATCTTAATCTTTTTGCATTTATCTTCTAGATCTATTAGCCCCTATGTAGAGCTTTCATGTCCTCCTCATAGCTGTAGTCAGCTTTACTTCATTTCAAAGTGGGCCACACTACCAGCTCTTCTCTCTTCTGGCCCAGATGAGCTTAAAAAATGTGAACCAATTTCAACATTAGCTTAAGTAGAACATAATTAACAAAGCAAATCAACTACAACAACACCATGTGGTGCATTCACAAACCAAGTGGAAATGATCTTTAGATTATTTGCACTACTGCTTCTTTCTATTCATGTGAAGCAGACAGAATAGGCAGCTGATAATGTGGTGTGATTTAAGGGGTTCTGCATGGAAGCCACTGCTACGCTTACTTCTTCAGGTTTAGGATGTCAAAAACAGTCTGTGGCTTGGGAGGGAGAGTAAATAGAATCTTTTTTTATCCATTAGCATGTTAAGATGAATTACTGCCTGATTAGATGCCAGAACAAGTGGTAAAGCAGATAGGTAAATTTTGAGGGGGATGGGTAGATCAGAGAAGAAAGTATAAAAGGTCTGAAGTCCTTCCTGAGAGGAAAAACAGTGAAGACACTGGGCAGCAAAAAAAAGAAGGCTTTGAAAATAAGATGAAGGCATGTGGAAAACCAATATAATTCATTTCTTGACCGTATTGTGAGAATCAGAGAGTTCTCAGTATCTGTGGTATCTTGCTTTCTATCTAAACCTACATTGATTAGGGATGCTCCTTTTTATCAACCAAACTTGTAAGTCATTCGCTTGACGGTAGCATTTCAAACATGATTATCAGTCACTGAAATATCTTCATCAAGGAAGAGAACAGCTTCTAACTTGAGAAATTCTAGGTGATGCCCAAACACATGCACAAAAATCTTTGTATTAAAAGGAGAAAGCTAACTTGAGAATGAATCAGGGGCACCTCATGACAGGGAACTCAAAGGGAGTATTCAGAAACAGAAAGTAGCCAGATGTCACTTTGCCTTGGTCATTGCCAAAAGAGACACTAAGGAGAGTCCCATTCCCAAATTAATCCTGTAAATGGTGAGGTTCTTTTATTAATATGTATTTTTTATTTTTTTACCCTATTATAGTAATTCCAGCTTTTTCTTCCTTTCCCCTAACCCTGTTCTTTGGTTAATTCTTTCACCATCTTTCATCCCGCTCCTGTTCCCTCCGGCAGCTCTCAGTCTGTTCCATATATCCATGCCTCTGTTTCTATTTTGTTCATTAGTTTATTGTGTTCATTATATTCCACATATAAGTGAGATCATGTGGTATTTGTCTTTCACTGATTGGCTTATTTCACTGAGCATGATATTCTCAGGTTCATCCATGCAGTCACAAAATGTAAGAGTTTCTTCTTTTTTACTGCTGCATAATTTACCATTGTGTAAATGTATCACAGCTTTTTTTTTTTATTGTCCAAATACATTTGTCTCCATTTTCCCACCACTACTTTCCTCTGCCCCACCTTCAATCCTTACCCACTTCGGCTTTTTTCATGGGTCCTTTATACATGTTCCTTGATTTGACCCTTCCACTTCCTTTCCCCATTACCCCCTCCCTCCTTCCCTCTTGTCTCTGTTGGTTTCTTTTTCTTTCAGTGTTGCTGGTTATATTTTCCTTGCTTATCCATTTTGTTGATTAGGTTCCACTTATAGCTGAGATCATATGGTATTTGGCTTATTTCACTTAGCATAATGCTCTCCAGTTCCATTCATGCTGTGGCGAAGGGCAGTAGCACTTTCTTTCTGCTGCATAGTATTCCATTTTGTAAATGTACCACAGTTTTTTGATCCACTCATTTACTGATGGGCACTTAGGTTGCTTCCAGCACTTGGATATTGTAAATTGTGCTGCTATGAACATTAGGGTGCATAGGTTCTTTTGAATTGGTGTTTTGGGATTCTTAGGGTAAAATCCCAGCAGTGGAATTGCTGGGTCAAAAGGCAGTTCCCTTTTGAGCTTTTTGAGGAAATGCCAATCTGTTTTCCACAGTGGCTGTGCCAGTCTGCATTCCCACCAACAGTGTACTAGTGTTCCCTTTTCTCCACAACCTCACCAGCACTTGTTTGTTGATTTGTTTATAATGGCCATTCAGACTGGTTGTATCACAGCTTTTTCATCCACTCATCTACTGATGGGCACTTCAGCTCTTTCCAGATCTTGGCTATTGTAAATAGTACTGCTATGAACATAGGGGTGCACGTATGTTTTTTGTATTGCTATTTTGGGATCCTTAGGATATATCCCTAGAAGTGGAATCACTGGGTCAAAAGGGATTTCCATGTAAATGGAGAGTTTTTGCAATACCAGGTCAAATCTTGGCCAACACACATAATGTTCTGTATAAAATTGATGATAGTAACAGCCAGTGAGTGCTTAGTAGGCATCAGGCACTGTGCTAAGTACTATACAAATATTATCTCATTTGATATTTTCCACAGCCTCACAAGGTATTTCTATTATTTCTATTTAATAGATGAGAATTCTGAGACAAAAGATATTCTATTTCTTGTGTGGAGAAGCCATAATTTGAACCTGAATCTGCCAAACTCTTAGCCTCACACTTCCTTGGTCCCAAAACCAACAATGACATTAAGGAGTAATTATTGGCCCAAATGAGATAGGGTTTTCAGGTTTAGCAAATAAAAATATAGAATATTCAATTAAATTTGACTTTCAGATAAATTACTTTTAGTATAAGTAAGCTTTAATTTTATACATATATTAAAAGAATTTATTATTTATTTGAAATTTAAATTTTACTGAGGATCTTGAATTTTATCTGGCAACCCTTGAAAAATCCCACCTTATTACTGATCATGGGGCTAGAAGACTGGAACAAGCAATCATGACCCTTCACTCCAAATAGTCCAGGAAGCAGCCTGTAATTCTTAGGTCCGCACGTACTAGCCTGCAAGGCCCAAGAGAAAAATGAGGACCTATGATCTCTATACAAAATAGCTTCACAGGGAAAAGCAAAATATTTCCAACAAGGAAAACCCTAACCTGACTAAATTATGAACAATAATTGAGGGGGAAACAAAGTTGGAGAGAGGCAAGCCTATAGCTATGATCCACTTAGAGTTCCAAAAAGCCCTCGATACATTGGAAGAAAACAAAATAAAATTAAACATGTTATGATGGTAAGATACTGGTTATTAAAAAAATCTTGTATTGTAATCATTGTTTTTGAATCTCAGGGGTACAGAATTAATCATTACTAGTTCACATATGAACTTTTCATTTTTATTTATTACATTTATTTATCTATTTTTAAAATACAACAAACATTCCTCCATAAACATGTGGTGATTTCTATAATTCACTAACATTTCTATTTCAAGCTTAGAATTGCTTTACATTGTGAAAGAGTTTTCTGGTGAACACAGCTAGCTACCAGCAGCTTTCAATCCCTGCTTTGCTGGTGCAGTTCTGAGAAAAATGGCTCTTCCACTGATCTTTTTGTAAAGAGGGTTCTGGAGCCTAATTGATTGACTTCTGGATGGTGGGGTTCCCCAACCCTGGATTCAACTGTGTCATTGGATGTTGTTTTATCAGTTCCGCTTTCTGATTTTCTACTGTAGTGCTAATCAATACTTTTTAAAAAATACAACACACATAAGACCAGCAATCCAAGAACTATAACATTATTGATACCTTATTTTTACCTGTGTCTTCCTCCTCTATTCTGTCTACCCGTTTTGACCTCTCCTGCTCTCTGATGTAACTATTATCTTGGATTTTGTATTTATCATTACCTTGGTCTTTTAAAAATATACGAACACACACACCTAAACTATATGAAGTTATTTTTGCTTGTTTTAAAACTTTATAAGAAGGGAATCAAGTTGTGTAGGTAAAACCCAAACTCCAGAAAGGAGCACTCAGTGAAATTTTTAAGCTTGTATATGATGACAAGCAGAATGAGACAAAGAAAGACCTTATAAAAATGTGTGAGTGAGCAGGTGTGAAGGAACCTAGAGAAAATAAAAATTCAAAATGAAGCTTACAGATTTAGTTGTGGCTCAGGCAAGGGATTATAGAGTATTATAGATCAGCAGCAACCCTCAGGGAACAGTAGGCTACTGTGGTCCAACAGGCAGACATATGGCAGTGCACTCCAACAAGAAGAGTGTTAAGAGAAAAATCTGTAAATGTTCTGTTCCCTTCATATAAAACAGGTGCAGCTGCCCTGCAAACACTATTGTACATAGTTACCCTTGCTCTACCTCAAAATATAAAAGGAATGTTAGTAGAAGTCCCAGTGGCAAAGATAACTACCACATGAGGATAGGGTTAATGGCCTTTGAGAGAAAC